TTTAGGCATTTTATAAGTAGAAATTTCATTGAACTTAAAATGTAAACAATGAACAGCTGTTTGTGTAAAAATAAGCATATAACCATCAATATGGGATGTTCACGGATCATAGACGTTATTTTTAATCTAATAACCACATAACCCGATAACCACCTTACCGTGAACAGCCTAACAGTAAACAATAAACCAGTTGGAGCATACAACATGACTTTTTCGCTACTATGTACATGCCGAACCCTTAACTGCTAATTGCATACAACTTGTGCATTTTGGGAATATATTCGTCTTTAAAAAAAAAAAAAAGAATGGTTAAGAACTGGTGTTTCTTCAATTCAGTATCATCAATATACCCTTTGAAATGCGGCAACTCATTTTATGTTGTTTTAACGATATCTTGTCTTTCATTCATATCAGGCCAAGTGATGTATCTAGATTTTAACTCCAAAATAGACGCTTTGTGATCTCGTAAAGCGTTTCACCATCTCGCCGCACTTTCACCCGATGATCCCAAACTATATAAGGTTATAGCTAGCTGCAGATGTACCGAAAATTGAATAATGGATTGAGCGTTGTTAAACTGCGCAATGTGTTTGATCAAGGACAATAGCAACTTAAATTGACCTCTTGGGACTCGGAGCATTTGTTGGAAACGTCCGTCGTCTAAATAGTCAGGATCATTAGATTTCCATTCCAAACACTTAGGCACATTTTGGTAATTTTCGTGATGGTTCGATAAGATAACTATAAGACTTTTATCCAATTCATTCATAGTTTTCCAATAGCTACCGCCCTCTAAAAAGTTAAAATTTTTGATTTTTTAAAGCAAGATTTTTTTAAGAAAGTATAATAAACAATTACCATCCAGATGTAGTAATATATTATATTAGAAGCAGCTTCTTCAATTATAAATTTAACAAGTTTTTGTTTCTCAGAAGTGTGTGACATTATATTAAATTTGCCACGAAGTTTGTAACACCCAAAAGAAAACGTCGGAGACAATATGAAGAATATACATATATAATATCAGTATATTGAGCTGAGTCCATTTAGTCATGTCCGTCTGTCTGTCTGTTCGTCTGTCTGTCCGTCCGTCTGTCTGTATATATACGAACTAGTTCCTCAGCTTTTAAGATATCGTTTTGAAATTTTGCAAACGTCATATTATTTTCAAGAAGCTGCTCATTTGTCGGAACTGCTGATATCGGACCACTTTAACATATAGCTGCCATTCAAACTGAATGATCGGAATCAAGTTTTTTATGGAAAACATTCACATTTGATAATGTATCTTCACAAAATTTGGCACGGGTTATTTTCTAAGATAATAATGTAATATATGAAGAAATTATTCAGATCTGCTTACTATAGCATATAGCTGCTACACAAACTGAACGATCTGAATCTAGTGCTGGTATGGAAAACTTTTTTTGGCATTTGGCAAGATATATTCACGAAATTTGGTACAGATTACTAGTAATCTCCGAAGAAATTGTTCAGATCGGTTAACTATAGCATATAGCTGCCATACAAACTGAATGAACACTATGGAAAACTTTCGCATTTGATGTGATATCTTCAAGAAATTTTAAGGGTATATTAGCTTCGGTGCAGCCGATTTAATCATTAATTTTTCGCAATTAATTTTTTTTTTTTTTTAATTATTCATTCACAATACTCGTTAAAATAGTTACAAAAGTTTGCATAATAGTCATTCAATAAATGCTGGCCGAAAAAACCATACACTTCATTGCGTTGAGTGATTAATCTTTGTTTATTTTTAATTCAAATAGTTAACAGAAGAAATATGAACATTTTTCGATATAGGTTGCTATCAATAACTGTAATTTAACATATATTTCATCTCCATGAATATATCAATTATAATTATATCTTTCACCCACTTTTAGTGGCAAATATTTACCTAAAATTTACTACGGCAAAACAAACTTTGCCAGGTCGGCTGATCAAATTGAAATGTGAATTTTTACTTTATGCTTCGCGTGTTCTTCGAATCGGTAATTTTTATTCTGTAGTAGGTAGTACTGTTAGTAACATCTATGCTAAATTTCACTTCAAAATGTTCATTAGTATTTGAGACATACGTGGTTTTGTGAGGCTCAAAACATGAATTTTTCGATTTTTAGTATGTCTGAATTTATTGCACAAAGATGTGCGATAATGCAAAATCTCATATTGCATTGGTTATTCCTGATCATTTCGCCATATTTTCAACTAATATCGTGCCGCAACCACCGCATTCGCCTGATTTACCTTCGTGTAACTTCTGGCTATTCACCAAAACCGATGCAAATTCTGTTTCGAATATCAAACCAATAATGTCTGAATTCATGACACCTACTGCTTTTTTTGATCGGTTTCAATTCTGATTCCCACAACTATCAGATTCCACAACACCCCTGATTATTTCGTGGTTTTTTGTCATTTCACAATTGCCCAAAAGTTTTCAATTGGATTGAGATCAGGACTTTGCGGAGGTCAACATAACATCAATATTTTTATCCGAAAGCCAGCTTTTTACTACCCTTGAAGTGTGTTTTGGGCAATTATAGTGCTGGAAAATTCAGTGGACTGGAATACTCTCAAATGAAGATGGTTCCATTACATTTTTCAGAATGTTTTATATTGAGGTTAGTTGTCCCTTGAACACGCATAATAGGGCCAACACCAGCACGAGAGGAAAAGCCTACCGAAACCATAACAGATCCGCGTGTTTTACTGTTTTCACAGTGTACCTGGCCTTCTTATCGTCTGAGTTGATTTTCTACATTAATTTCTTGTAAACTTTAGCCTTTATTTCACTCGAAGTCATTAAAGGGTTGTTTGCTCATTCTACAAATTATCCGGTCTTCTGGTGGAGTTGTTTTTCGAGGTCTGGTCTTTCTGGTAGGGGTTCCATATTTCTTTGTTTTTTTTTTTTTTTATACAAATGAATAGCTCAAAATACCATTTTTTGGAGCAAACAAACCTTTGTGCGATAGCTGACATTGACAATTTCTTCTTTTGGTAGCACCAAATAACCCTCTCATTTTGGAAGTACATGATTTTTTTTTTTGCCCATTCTTATAATTAAAACGTTTTTAATTGTTTAATTGAAGTATACTCACTTTATCGCTAAGTTCAAAAAAATCCGAGAATCAAAAGAAAGAACTGCGCGTTTCTAATTACGTGACCAGCCAAGAAACACATACCTGGAAATAATTTTAATTTTTTCAATAACCGACCAGCAAATATTCACGTGTTTATTTAATAAAAACGTTCATAGTCTACACTACGAATAACGGGGCTTATAATTTACAGTGCACTTCTTAAAAAAGTATACAATGATTTGATTTTTCCTAGTATATCGTTTCTAATTATAAGGCCACCAATGTATGTCAGCTTATGACCAAAAAAAGTAAAAACTAAATCAACACTATTCAAGCCCATAGGTACCGAAAATATGGACCATAATACATATGTTGACTTTTTACCGAAAATATCGGTGAATGCTTTTCTTAGCCCCTTGTACCAAATATAATCGTAAAACCAGGTGACACTATTAATAAAATTAAGAGAAAGGTTTTTTCTGACAACGATGGATATTTGAGCTTAGTGGTAAGTTTTAGATTAAGTTTACCAAGTCTGGCGTTGGACAGCTTATTATTCTTCTTCCCGTGACAGACAAGTAGAACAATATCATAGTAAAGGTATCATTCTGTTTACTGCGTTGATGGCACACATGGCAATGTTAGTGTTCAGTCGAACGTTTTTTATCAAATAATTGTATTTTGTTCATAACAAGTTTTTGCTCTGGATTTTTATGTGTGTGCTTGCATTTTTCACTAAAATTAAAAACTGAAAGTTTATTATATGAAATATGAATTATCATAAAAATATGAAGTAATATAAAAAAGGTGAAGAAAATAGAATTGGTCGATTCTTGAAAAAAATCTTTTTATTACATGAATCCATTTAATATATTTACTTTAAATTACATCATATTGAAGGATTTTTTGTTTGTCGATGTGTTATCATAAGGTCTATACTTATTTTAAACATGCCCTCCAACTTATGAGTCGTTTTCAGTTTCTTAAAATCGATTTTTTCAACATCCACAATATTGGTTTGTTAAAAACTTTTTTTCACAGCAGACCAAACCTAAATCAGACGGTATATATACGTTTTTATATTTTCATTATAAGAATACTCCACAATAGAGACAAATTGCAAAATGGCATTTCCATTCCCTGAAGGACTGTCGAGTCAGTAACACTCTTCAAAATGAAATAATAGAATAAAAATCTTATTTGTGAATAAACAAAAATGTTAAAACGGTATATAAATCTGCGGGGTAAAATTTGATTTTTTAAATATAAACATTATCAATTTAAATTAATCAGTACTATTCGGTGTACAATGGTTTTGGTTAAGTACCTCCTATCAGAAGAATAGTTGATAAAAATATTCAATCGCACATTGTTAGGT